CCTAAATGTGTTGAAAATTATATACAGAGTGGCCCAAAAATCTGGAAACGGCCAATTATCTCCTAAACTGCTAGTCATAATTTTACAAAATTTGAGGTACACCTATTTTGGGCTACGGAGATTCTAAATTTGATATTTGCGATGTTGCCAGATTTGCCGTTTCTCTTATATTATTAGTAACTTTGGTTTTTCAAATTCATTACCCTGTATATTCGGTCATTATTGGAATCTCCTATTCAATACGCGTTCAACCATATGTTACACTTATTTTATGTAGTCTGGAAGGTCTTAAAAACATAAAGCAGTGCAAAATATGTGGATTTTAATAAATTTAAATGTAGAACGCTGTGATTTTGACATCATCATTTATATTATTAACTACACTAGTGGCCAAAATTCTGGAAACTTTCTGGAAAATTTTAGTTTTGTTATCAGCATTCTTTTTTTTCACAAGTCTTATGTTATTTGTAACTTTATCTATAATTTTATTACATCGTTTTATGCTTCTACCTAATATTTAACATTTTAACAACTATTTTAAGGGGGGAAATCCTCTAAAATTTTTAAAATCAATTAAACAAAAGCCGTTAGCTATTAGTACATATATTGGTAGGATAACCTTTGTTTTTTAGGACAGACTCAATTCTGCGAGGCATGGATTTGAGGAGACGAGCCAAATCTTTTGGTGTAATAACTCTAAACCAGTTTTGAATAATGGCTTCTATCAGTTCTCTCTTGTTGCTTGGGTTTCGGCCTGATACTCAGACTTTCAGCCTTGACCATAAATTTTCTATTGGATTTACATCAGGACTATTTCAAGGCCAAGGCAGAACAGTAACATCATGGTTTCTCAACCATTCCATGGAAGTCTTAGCCGTATGACAAGGCGCTCCATATTGCTGGAAGAATCATTGTTGGGCATCCCCTTCGAACAAATCTCTGATAGTCGGCAGCAGTTTGGCTTGCAGGATCCCTTCCTGATATTTTTTTGGATTAATATTGCCCTTTATTACTGCTAAACTTATAACTCCATTAGTGGTCATGCAAGCCCATACCATGACACTCACAGGATGCTTCATAGTGACCGTAGTACACCTCAAGACCGGAGCAAAAGGTCTTCTCCCGGTCGGCGGCGAACAAACTTCACTCCGTCACTCCCAAATGTCGAGATTTTGGTTTCATCACTCTAAATTACTTATTCCATTGTTCTTCTGTCCACCCTCTGTGTACCAAAGTCCAATCAATGCGTTTTTGCCTCTGTTTTTTTGTTCAGAAACGGCTTCTTTCTAGGAATTCGTGATCGCAAAAAACTGTACTAACAGTATTGCCAATATTGCCATTCACAAATCTCGGATTTTCGGCGTTTCGCTTGAATCTGGTTCCATATTTTTTTAAATAATGATGTTAATAAAAAAAGAGTGAGGAATACATAACATATTATGCAGGAATATAAAACAATAAAATAAAAATATAATTGTAATGATAAACTATATAAATCATGATCATGAGACGAGTCTTGCTAAAAAAACGATAATTTTTGTAAAGTTTCCAGAATTTTGGCCATTAGTGTAAAACTGACAGTAGTTGTGGTTCGAAAAGTTCTGCAAGATAAATTACTTCTCCAAAATTGCTCTTAACGAAAAAGAACGAATTACTATTCTAATGATGAGAGGGTACGGTGACACAAAAAAATCTTATTGTGAAATAGGCTTGTTCAATGATACTTTCCCAAACAGTTCTCCTATTAATAAGATAACGGTACAAAAAAACGATTGTAAAGCGATTTGAGAAATCTGGAGAGGTAACAGATAGATACCGATCAGGTAGACCGAAAAGAGACATGAATGACAACAAAACTTTAGATTTAATCAAAGTTTTGTTGAAAATTCACATACATCCTAACGCAGGGTTGTACAATGCACAAATACATGGTGTAGGTCGTTCTTTGGTCTTACGTCTATTACATAAGAATAAATTTAAACCCTATAAAATTAACTTATTGCAAGAATTAAGTGAAGATGACTTCGATTGTAGATTAGAGTTTACTGAGGTAGTGATGGATAATATTGAAAATTATGACAATTTCGTTAACAGAATATGTTTTTCCGATGAAGCAATCGTTACACTGTGTGTATTGATAAGTAAAAATCGGCACTATACGTTTCCATGGATGCGTGAAAACCATACCCAAAGACCATACAAATTAAATGTATGGTAAGGTATATTAGGTACTCAGTTAATTGGGCCATTTTTTATCGACGGAAATTTAACGTCAGATAACTACGAATTGTTACTTAGAAATGAAATTGTACCTACACTGAGAAACTTGTTTGGGGCCAATTTTAATCAAATATGGTTTCAGCAAGATGGAGCTCTAGATCATTTTGGTGTAAATGTTCGGCGATATATAGATGAGATATTTCCCGGACGATGGATTGATAGACGAGGTAGAATTGAATGGCCTTCATGTTCACCTGATTTCAATCCTAAAGATTATTTTTATTAGGGATACTTGAAAAATTCAGTTTACGAAACTAAACCAGGTAGTTTTGCAGAGCTAAGGCAACGAATTATCGATGAATTACGACTAATTTCTAGACAATCATGGAGAAATGTGGTATAATTATATTTATATATATTTTAGACGCATTGTACCATCGATTAGGGTGCTGTCAGCTCACATTTTGAACACTTGATTTATTATGCCGTTATGTAAATTTACTGAAACAATTAGGCGTTTCCAGATTTCTGTTTAACGTATTTAAGACCTTCCAGACTACATATAATCATAAGTGTTACACATAGTTGAACTCTTATTGAATAGCAGATTCCAAGAATGACTGAATATACAGGGTGATGAATTTAAAAAACCAAAGTTACTAATAATATAAGAGAAACATCAAATCTGCCAATATGGAATCTCCGTATCCCAAAATAGGTGTACAAATCTTCTTCTTACTTTTTTCTCTTCTAATTTATCTACGCCCCATTTTCTTTGCCCTTTTCACCTTTCATTCTTCGTTGTTTTTATTTTACATTTTGTAATCACTAGTATATGGCCCGAATCGATGCTGACCTTCTGTGAAATCTAAAATCATTTATCGATTGTTTGTGTGTCATTTTAATCAGTACATAGTCTATTTAATTTCCCCCCAGACTTCCTGGTCTCATCCATGTTATTTCGAGTATGCCTTGTTGTATGTATTTATATCTGCTATGACACCGCAATTTTTTATAAGGCCGAAAATTGGGAAGATCTTAAGACTATAGTTGAACAAGACTTCAAAGTTATAAAAACATGGTTGCAAATAAATAAACTCACAATAAATTACGAAAAACTAAATATATACCTTTTGCAATATATAAAAATTCTCTGCCAACTTTTAACTCATTAAAAATAAATAAAAAACAACAAATATTTAAAGCAGAATACATAAAATATTTAGGAGTTTTAATTGACAGGCACCTTAAATGGGACTTACAAATAAAAAATATTATAAGAAAAATAAGAGGACTGTTACCAAAATTTCGCTATTTAAAAGAGTTTTTAGATGTTGAACAGCTTAAAATGCTTTACCTGTCTTTAGTACAATCTCATCTTGTATATGGGATTTTAGGATGGGGTGGCGTAGCTGATTGCCATCTGGTGACCCTTCAAAATACACAGAAATGGTTTCTTAAACTAATATATGGAAAACGAAAAACATATCCCTCAAACCAACTTTTTCATGAAACTCAGGTTCTTGATGTTCGGCAATTGTACTGCCTAGAGCTACTTAAAAATATTCATAAAGATAAAATACCTCTTAAAGTAAAAGTGTCAAATTATGAAACAAGAAGAAAATTGAATGTTGAATGTCTTCATACTTCAAAAACAATCACGCAACGGTCAATTAAATATTTTGCTCCAAGAATATAGAATCAATTGCCCATAAATTTTAAAAATATCAAAAAATTTTATTTGTATAAAAAATTAGTTAATGCTTGGGTAAAAGAAAAAAGGGAGTTGTGTAACAATTTAATAAATTTAAATTATACTAGATAAAAAAAACGAAACAAATTAGATTAGATTAGAAACTGTAAAAATGAAATAATAATTTGTAAAAAAAACATTAAACCTGTTAATATTAGACAGCTTAAGTCAACAAGCATGTTAATGCTTTAAAGACTTTTTTTACATTTATGTTACTGTAAGTAAACTAAAATTGAAATTGTAAATTAATGTAATACTTATGGATTTGAATAAACGTATATTATTATTATTATTATCTCTTTATACTTATGTCCATGTTTAATGCCACTACTAAATTACACAGTATTTCTCCATGATTGTTTGTTGTGTCATGTATTGAGTTTGCACCTGCAACCTCTCTGAAGTAATTTTCTTTGCCTGTTTGGTTGTTGAAATCACCTATAAGAATTAATATATTTTCTCCTGTGATTTTCTCGGCGTTTTCTTCCAGTGTTTCATAGAACTGCTGTTTTGTCAAGTTATCACTGTTTTCTGTGGACATTTATTACAGACAACTTGTTCAGTTTGCTGTTTACTCTTATGCATGATATTCATTCACTTATGGGTTTAAATTCCATAACTTTATGTCTCATTTCTCGTATCACCATAAAAGCATTTCGCCATATCCCTGTTTTTCTTCGCCTGCATACGATACTGTGTAATTTTTCTTTTCGATTCTTCCATGTTCCCTTCATCTGGTTTCATGAATTCCTGCAATATATATGTTATATTGTTTAACTGTGTCGCTAGTTCTTATATTTTTCCTGTTTCCAGTAGCGTCCTCACGTCCAATGTTCCAATGTTTTTGTATTTTTTCTCTTTTTTGTATTTTTCTTATAAGTCTGACTGTACCTTGACTCATTTTCCTCTTCGTTTGCATTGTCTGTTTCCTTTTCATTCATCCATTTGTCTTTGTCTAGTTTTTTGGAATATTTTCAATATCTTTAAGGTATCTTTTGCATTCCATTTCAGCACCGTGTCGTCAATTTCAAATTTCTAAGCAAATTCTTTTTCTTCTTTTTTGTTTTGCTATGTCTCTGATTTCTTTTTCTATCTTTGCTTCCATGGACCTTATCGCTGCATTTGTATATATTTCTCTACCGTCTCGTGTGTATCTGAGCTTACCTTTTTCTTGCAGCTTGTCTTCCCAGCTCTTTGTTTCTATTATACATTTCTTGTATCCTATCCTAAACGCATTTTTGATTTCTATTTTCCGTTCAAGCTCTTTTTCCATCATTTTTTGTATGTCTTCTCTTAGTTTCTTTTCATCTTCTAGGTCTACCTCAACTCACTTTACCCATATCTTAATTTTAGTCTTATTTTTACCTTTTTCGTTACATAATAAAAATACGTATAACCCTTTTGTATCCGCCACTGTACAATTACATGTATGAGTAGGCTGTTTATTGATTCCGGTCACATTTCTTCGTACATCTGTAAAATATTGAAGCTACGACAATTAGTGTAAACGTGCCGTTAGATCGTATTCTACATTTGAATACCTGTTAATTTATTCTGCGCTATGCTTCGCAATTTGACGAGCCTTAAAAATAGCTATCATCGGCTAGTCGACTCATAGATATATGTATAAAAAATAAATTTATGAATGCATCTGAAATATCTACTTCATATTTTTTTTGTTGTTGTTTGACTTTGCGCCCATTTGCCAAACAAATATTCCTGTATTGTTTTATTTATGTTGTCATATATCTAGAGTGCTTGCTAAAAAGAGTTATAAGTCAAAAATGGTCAAAATAATATTTTTGCCGAATAAGACTATAAAGGACTATATCTTTACCTCGGTATCAGTAGAACAAGTCAATATGCTAATATAAATTAAATAAAATTATTTAGTCTTTTTAGTATAACTAGTTAAATGAACTTTTAATTTGGTAGAAACAGTTTATGTCAACTTATACGTTGTTTGTGAATTATTCTTGGCTCTAATAATACTTATATGTGGACATGTAGATGATTATAGTCACGAGGATAAAAACTATGTTATGCCGGATAGAACTGACTCTAGCAGTGCTGTTGAAGAAAAAATAGAATCTGTTATAAATTCTAGATCTGAAAATGCAGAGCAGATCAAAATCTGCAAATCTGTAAATCACGAAACAAAAAAGAGTGGAACGTAAAAGAAATCGAAACTTTGGAAAAGTTTATGTAACAGCATAAAATATGGTGAAACTAGCACGCTGCATTAAAAAACTTCAAGCCTGTAGAAATAGTCTATGGTAATCCCAACAAACGTGTTGCATATATTGCTAGCCTTATAGACTCTGAACCACCTAAAACCACTAGAAAAAGGACTTTGGATCCGGATAAAGAAAAAGTTCGCAAAGTGACTCATGTTTTTCATATAAAGGTAAAGGGCGCTAGAATTCAAATTTGTAAAAAATGTTTTATGAACACATTTGATGAGACAAATATGTTTATTACACTGGCTTTTACAAATAGGGACTCAAATACTTACTATTCAAATACTGCTCACAAACATAATGAAGAAACTATTAATGCAGTGAAGTCCCACATAGATTCTTTTCCCCTATATGAATCTCATTATACTCGACGAGAAAGTAGTAGATTCTATTTGCCATGGCATCTTAATCTTCAGAAAAATGTACAAATTATACTATGAACAATGAATCACCTGTCTCTAAACCTATCTATGAAAAAGAGTTCCATAAAATAAAAATTTCATTTAAAAAACCTAAAGTAGATACGTGCCATAAATGTGATGTGCTGAGTAATAAACTCAAAGTTACTGAAAGCGAAGATGATAAAACTAAAATAAAAGACGAGATAAGTATTCACCACACTGCTGCAGACAATGCATATGTTATGAAGAGCAACGATGCACAAAAAGCAAAGTATGATAGTACTTTTAGATGCTTCACTTTTGACTCGCAGTAGTGTCTTCCTATTTTATACGTAAATTCTTCTATCCTTTTACAAAAGACAGTTATGGACATATAACCTAACTAGTCATGAGAATGGTGAAGGAAGTGTAGCATATTACATGTGGCACGAAGGTGAAGGAGGAAGGGGAGTTAACAATAGACCTACATGTATTTATAAAGAATTATTATCACCACCATCACCTGTTATCAAAGTTTCCTTGTACTCGGATACATGCGGTGGTCAGAAGAAAAGTTATTGACCATAAATTCATGGTGAGTGGACACAGTCATATGGAGTGCGATATTGATCATGGATTGATCCAAAAGCAAAAAAAAGGATAAGTGTTTCCATTAACCATTCGCACGACTGGTATCAGCTTGTGAGAAGTACAGGAAAAAAGGAGAAATTCAATCTTGTAGAACTTTACCGTGGTGATTTTTTAAAGAAAATTTTGAATGAGGTATGTACGTTTGTTAATGATTATGTACAAACAATGCCAGCAAAGATTCAAGAGCTCCACATATTTTCTGATAGTTGTCCGGGCCAAAACCGGAACTACACTGTAGTCAGATATTTATTAGCTCTTGCAGCTTCATAGCATTTGATCGTGTTAAGCACTCTATATTGATCGAAGCTCTAAAAGACATTGGCTTGGACGGTAGAGATGTTCGAATAATTGCAAATTTATATTGGAATCAAACAACATCAGTTTTTAGGGCAAGATTTGATTAAACTTGTGCTCTATTTTTGCCTTAATTTTCAAAGTTCATTTATTCGAGCATTCAACCTCATATCAATTAAACATAAGTTTTAGTAGATGGTGTGGAATCACAGCTCTCAATATCAAAAGAGGAGTACGGCAGGGATGCCTTTGTCACCCCTGATTTTTAACATTTACTCGGAAAGAATTTTCAGAAAAGCACTTTCTGAAAAACAAGAAGGAATAATTGTGAACGGCAAAGTCATCAATAATTTGCGATATGCGGACGATACAGGACTCCTAGCTTCTAGTCAAGAAGATCTGCAAACACTACTTGATAGTGTCGTTGAGAGTTGTAGGGAGGCAGGTCTGGATCTTAACACACGGAAAACCAAAATACTCGTAATAGTAAACAACAGCATATAAAACGTCTATAGATGTAAATAATACCAAAGTTGATAAAATCGTTTATCTTGGACAGCAATTAAATTGTAACGCAGAAAGTCACGCGCAAACGCAATTAAATTGTAAACGCGCTGCAGAGCAGGCTAGAGCTGCTTTTAGAAGGATGTCCAAGGTGTTTTGTAACACAGACCTAAAATTGGCATTGAGGATCCGCCTACTTCGCTGCTACGTATTCTCGGTCTTACTTTACGGTGTCGAGTCTGGACTGTGAATAAAATCGATCTAAATCGCCTTGAGGCTCTCGAAATGTGGTGCTATAGAAGAATTTTAAAGTTTTCTGGGTGGAGAACATTCGAAACTCCACAATACTAGAACGTCTCAGCAAGACTACTTAGATCAAGCAGAGAAAACTGGAATATTTCGGATATGTAATGAGAGGTCCCAAATATAGGTTGCTACAAAGTATCATACAAGGAAAAATAACAGGCAAACGCAGTCCAGGACAAAGAAGAAACTCATGGTTGAAGAACTTGCGAGATTGTATGGTGTTGATACAAGCATGCTATTTAGGGGGGCAGTGAATAAATTAAGATACCTATGATGGTAACCAACGTTCTGAAAGGACATGGTACATGAAGAAGAAGCTTCAAAGCGGTTTCGTAAAATTTTTACTCCTTCCCATTGCGTAGTCACTCTTTTTTGCCGTGTAACAGGGACTTTGGATCTTTGAAGAGAGTGGTAAGACAATACGATAGAATATATCTTCCAGAAGATTACGAACAGATGATGCTGTCTTGTCGCAAATTAAAGTTGTTTACAATTTCAACAATATATTATTCCCAGTTAAATAGTAATTAATTCAAAAATATGTCATAAAGACATAATTGACTACAAAAATTGGTGGACGAACCACTACAAAAAAATCATCCAGTCTTCCGATGGAACAAAAGAATAATTTACAATGTCATATTACAGGCAATTTACTTATGATAGTTCTACACCAGGGCACGTCACAACTAGCAATTATGTTGGCGGATTCATCACAAGCAGTTTCAAGTTAGTCAAACCTAAAGCAACCCATATTGTACCAAGTAATCCTGCATACACTAAAACATTACCAATCAGTATAAAAAAATGATAATTTTAAAAATGTAATGCGATACCTAACAGGAGAAGTTTTGGAATTTTATTATCACATTACGTCATGGGAAAGCACCAATGTTGATGCTGAGTCGACTCAGGAAGACCAATAAGTACCATTTCTTTTAGGTCCTTTCAAAAATGATGTTGCTTTTACGTATTAAAAACTTATATGGCCAAATATCTTACAAATAATACAAATAATATAAATTATTCAAATTTGTTGTAAGGCTGTTTTCGCAGTTATAGCATACTGCGATTTGAAGTGGGCGTATCACTTACTTTTCTACACTGCTATGTCAGACCCTACGTGACTTCCTAATACATAGTTTGGATGTTTATTCAGTGGCGCCGGCCCACGGGTTGTTTAAAATAAATGCATTATTCTCCATTCAAATTAGTTTTGTCGGAATACTTTTTTTTAGATTAATTATCGTAGATAATGTTTTAAAAAGAATTAATCACATTTTTAATTTATATGTCTTAGCTAAACATAGTATTAAATAAAAATTTGTGAAACGTGACTGCAAAAACACCATGGTGTTTATTTATAATAAATTTAAATTTTGTTATATTAATATTAATATATAATTAATATTTTGTTAATATTTGTTAGAGAAAACTGATATTAGGGTAGTAAAAATTAAACAAAAAATATTTTTATTTATCTATAAAAAATTGGTACCTGCGAAACCATCATAATAGTAAATGTATTTATCTGGCAAGTATTTCGAGGCGACGCACTGCGAGGAAAAAGTTCTCTGAATGGAATATACATTATTTTAATATATTTATAGGTTGCAATTACATAAGAAAAGTATCCAATTGATGAATAAAACACAAATCGTGGATAGTTATTTCATCATATCAGTGGCATTTCAGTTAGTCATGAGCCAAAGGCTTTTTCAGAACAATCTTCCATTCGCCCCTGCCTCTGGCAACTTTCTCCATGCTTTAACTCCGATGGATTTTAGATCATCCTCTATGTTATCTTGATACCTAAGTTTTGGTCTTCCTCTGGATCGTCTTCCCACTGGTCCTCTTCGGTCGAAATTTTTCTGATCGTTTCATCTTCATCTCGCCTAATT